CGAAATTGTTATTAACAGAGGAGTTAACTTTTGGTTAACATAAAAATAACTTTCTTCACAATGGGGTAAATTACGTTTATTCACGTAAATAACCTAACCTTTGGGGGATGAATTTCGTTGCCGTGACAATTTCGTTCAGTTAAGACGATTCGAAATTGTTATTAACAGAGGAGTTAACCTTTGGTTACACACATAAAAATAACTTGCTTCGCAATGGGGATTTTTTCCTTCGCGGTGAGAGAAGTTATATCGTTACGCCTGAAGTAATAAAAGAGAAGAAAAAACTCGTTTTTCACTTGTTGACTTTTATTTGTGTTGCGTTTTTCATTTGTTGACATTTATTTTGATCCAAACGTTTTATGACGTATTTAGCAAATATATAAATTCCATTTAGACTTGAATGAAATATTATCACGCGTTACTTTTGAAATTTTCTCGACGAAAAATGTCGTCATGCCGATCTTCTTGGTATATAATGACGAAATATTTCGTCTTACTCAGTTATTTAACGCGCTGAAAACATATATTTTATAGCAAGTTTGTAGAATACATTTCCACTAAAAGAAGGCATTATAAAAAAATGCAGTATAGAACAAAGCACATAATTGTTATATATATAATAATTAATGATTACATGTAATAATTCATTTTATTAAATCGGGCAATCGCTGCAAAACCTGACTAGTCTTATAATTTTTTGTGTTGCTACTTCAGTGCCGAATTCGTTTATACATTTTGTTATACAGCAGGAAGTGCTATGAAAGTTAATAAAAGAAACTTGTTTTCCAACAAAAGGCAAAAGAAAAAAACAAATGAAAACAAAAAAAAATGTTATCTCCGTATATTTAACTATTGCCTGTTTTTCACTCAACAAATTCGAAGGTTCAATTCAAGGCAGGTGAAAAATTGAAACTGATCGCAGCGCGGATGTGTTAACTACTCTATACAAGCTACTTACTTGTAGATTCGTGATGTAGTGAAATAAATGTAATGTAATGAAATCAAACGGCCTGAATGAAAAGTCGAGCAGAAACGGCATAGAACGTTTTCTAACTTTTATCTCCTATTTTTCAATTGACTCCAAGTGCAAATTAATCGGCCGTGGCTTCCACCTACCAGCCCTTAGTTCTTCAAATAACTAAGAAAGAATTCCAGTAATTTATTCTCGCGTATTCCGCGATAATTGCGGAAAAATTCACGCGAGTAGAAATAAAATGGCAGGGCTGTTACCGCTAGGCTGACGTCGAGTTTTCAATTAAGAAATGTTTCCTGCCGGGGAATTGCTGGCCCCGCAGACGTTTACGTTTCGTTACGATTAATCGTGCAAATTGGGATTCACGGCGGTCCACCGTTACAGCCTTGGTTATCGTCGTATGTTCCTTACACCCGTCAAAGACAATGCATTCTGTTCATTATTTTCCAATGGGAAAATAGTCAACACGTTCGCACAGGTGTGTCAGGTTCGAATTCTCTGTTGCGTCAATAATTCGCCAATTACCACTAACGGTGGTTGTATGTTGCACATTGCTTTTCGTTCGTCTGAAAATCTGTAAGATCCAGAGTTTTACTGCTCGATAGTTTTCATTTACAATGAAAATTTGATTCGATAATTTAAACTGGTCTTGTTTTAAAGCGCGAAGTCTCCATTTTGACACTGGTCAATTTGTTTCTTTTTTTTTTTTTTTTTTTTTCAAAAGTGATTTTACGTCAGATAAAATGGCTATAATAGAACAACGAGGATACCTTCTTCTCGAAAACTGTTGAAATTCAAAGGCGTTAAAGAAAATTTTTTTCACGACCAAGCCCATCATGAAGCAACGACTTTGTAAAACTTGCTGTACAATTTTTTTTCTTCTTCTTTTTCCATCGTTTTGTTGAACTTGATGCATCAGGCTAAAGCGACGAAATTGTTTGTTGGGTTTAATAAAATGGTGAAAGAAAATCGTACAAGTTTCAAGGGGAGATTTCAATCTTCGAAGCGAGAAGTATTTCCAATTTTCGAGGAAAACGCAGGTGTAAATGTTTGAAAAAGACGAACTCGCGTGATACAATCGTTAAAATAGAAGTTTTTAACACGAGATCGAGTGGATCGCTGTGTGATCTTCTTTCACAAAGTGACGCCAGTTCGAATCGCCGGCTATTTTTCATTGTCACTGGCACAGTTACAGCTCCTCGCTGTATCTATCAACGTCCGATCCACTTTATTTCGAATTATCTACCAACATGGATTCACTTTCGAACCGAGGCGTCGTGTCTTTTGAAAAAAAAAAAAAAATCCGCTGTGGGCGGTAGCCATATTTGGAGTCCGAGGAGTCTAGACATAATTGGTCAAAGCATCTAGAGCAAACGAACCTTCAACTTAACTCGCGATCAATTTTCTCTCCCACGTGGCTGAAATCAGTTGGAATCATTCGCGGTCCGAATTGATTTTTCCTATTCCCAGTAGCCCGAATTAACTTTCGACTTTTAAGACGAAGCTATTTCTACGAGAACCAGTCGAAATGACTGGTCTTTAAAAAATAATAGAATATTTTTATATTTATTGATTTATTACTTTCTTAGAAATAGAAATTCCACGTTACGTGGTACAGTTAATACCAAATTTTCTTGTCAGGTTCATTCGGCAAATATTGAATAAATCTGCATGTGGCTTTAGATTAGGAAAGAGTTGCTCGTCGATTGTAACATTTGCACCTAGTTTTGCAGCAACTCTGACCATTTTGAAATAAACTTATCACCATACAGCTGATATCAAAGCAGATTTATCATTTTGTAAACGTTGGCTTTGTCGCTTTTTTTTTTCCTTTTTATCAAAGCCTATAAATCTCAATATTTCGGTAAAATCATTTCATGGTGTTGGA